AAACATCCAAAGTTCAATAACCTGATATGGCTTATCATATTAACATATTAAAGTTGAAGTATAAAATTTTATAATTTGATAAATTTAAATAATCAATCTGTCAAACACTGTCAATCTGTCGAACACTGTAAAACACTGTCAATCTGTCAAACACTAGGGTTTACATTAGAGTAAAGACCAACTGTAGAATATAATATAGAACCTTGGTCATCTCAAATCTTGTTATTATTTGTTCCCTGTCAGATTGCAGGTCTTTGGTATGCAAATTCTCAAGCTTGGCTTGGAACTTTCCTGTTTTTATTCCAAGATCTGCTTCTGTTCCAACACCTGCTTCATTATCACCTATAATTACAGATGTTTCTCTGGTTGGCTTTATTTATAGCTTTATTGATTTTTCTTCCACAAATCTTCTTTCCTAATCTCACTACCAACCATCATTGTTCATTTAATCTTAATGTCTTTTTCTCATTTCACATCAGTTCTGACACTGAGTATGTCATCTGCCATGTCAAAAATGTCACTATAGTATCAACAAGGTTTCTGAATTTCCTCTCTTACAAATTAGAATAAAGATGGTAGGTTGGAAATTATCACGGTATCAGTCTAATAATGAAAAATAACACACTCTCAGATTCTTACGAAAATATTTCACCAACTGATTTTCTGTCAATTCCAAAGTCTGAAACCATTCTGTTACTGTTCCTTTTGTTTCATGAAGGTCACCATCAGGAAATCACAAGATATAAACATGATTGAATGTCTGAAGGTCAAATAAGTCTTTCTTTCCATGGAAAAGAAATATCAGGATATCAATAGGCTTAACATCAATATCATTTCTAATTCAACAAGCTGATTTTATAAAAAATATATATAACCTATATGATTCTGTACAGGGTTATAATTATAGAATAATAAAATTGGTGTAATTTGGTTTTCTACTGATTTTATTGGTATGTATATTTATGAGCCAAAAGTGAAATTTATGTGTAATTTTGTGCAGCATGCAACAGTTATGGTGTTATTTTTTAAAATTGATACTCTTAAAATATAATGTCTCGTGAAAGTTTAGGCCTTTAGCCAATGGTATGCCACAAAACCTAATGTGGTCCACAATCTTATATGTGGAACATTTATGTCCAAATTATGCCTGTCAATGAAATTGTGTAGAGTTTTGGGATCCTAAAAAAGTTTTCATTGTCAGGATCATTTTCCATAATTCTCAATTCTATTTTAAATCTCACAGAAAAGGCTTCTAGAGAGGATTGTTGACTCGATGGCTTCTCTTCAGTCAGTTTTTCATAAAAAACATGGGGAATAATCTAGAATAATCAAACTAGAGAAGATGTCAGGCACATTTTTAACTGTGAGTTGTTAAATTATATCAAACTACAGAATTAGATTAGTGATAATGTTCTCCTTGGTGATGACGTCATGAAAAACATCTTTTCTCTCGAGCAAGGTGAAAAAAACATGGTGATATGTGTTAGCTTGAGGGATGAGTTTTGTGTTAAGATTGATCTTGAGTTATTGACTATTTCTACAGGATATTTTCGCCTGTTATTTCACTGTCTGAACATTCTATTTCCAGTATCAAATATCTCATATTATTGAGAAACAGAAATCATGTATGAGATTAAGAATTATAATATGTGATTTTCTCTTGGGAAAAAAGAATTTATCTTTCTTCAATGAAGACATCAGGTGATTTGACTTGTCATTGTGATAATTATGATATGGTATGTTATAAATTGTATAATATGGTTATTCTATTACAGACATCATATATCTTCTAAAAAACTAAGATACAAAATCTCTTAACTCTTAAAAGCCAAATTGTTAGCGATGCCAATGACAGCGTGGTAAGCCATCAACTGCAATTGAGCTTTCTGATGTGCCCGACAAAATTCTGCATGTCATCTCCATATACAGAACAAACCAAAAGTAACACTGCATTTTGCTTTTGTCTTGATTAAAAAAACTTACGATGAAAAAATTTATCATAGGGACATATTCTTTAGACCTAACTGCAATGAAATCACATCTGTACATCACGTCTAAGGAACTGATAGGGCCAGATTTTACAGGCTAGATTAAAATGAACAGGTGTAAGTGGCTATTAATAGCTAGCCAGGAACTGAATTCAGTATATGTCTTTTAGTCTGTAAGTATTGCAAGTGCATATTGAATTTTACATTCTATTTTTCTGCTTCTACTGATGCCAATGATGTCAGACAGTGCACTAAATGAAATTTTACCAAGACAATATATAGAACAAGGATAATATTCTGTCAATATAATATCAATCATATAATTTATACAGTAATTCATGTGGAAATAATATATTCCTACTGTACAAAACTAGAACAAAGGTAGTCAATCGTTTAAAGATTTAATACAATACTTTTATTCTGTTGTCAACACAATTTTATAAATTTGAAGTGGGAATCTGAAAAAAAAACTAAACTTGTTTCATTCATTTCCTAAGATACATTTAATTACATTTTAGTTTAACACAACTTAAATAACATAAATATATACACAATCAATAAATGAATAATCAGAAAAATAATCAAAGGCACAAAAAAATGTTATGATTAGGGTTATTGCCCTTATCACAGAAGAATTAAAGTGGTGTAGTTTGGTTTTCTGTTTATTTAATTGTTATGTATGTTTATAATCCAATAGTAAATTTTTATGTGCAATTTGGATAGCTTGCAACATTTTTGGTGATTTTTTTAAAAATTAGTACTAAATATTATAATGCCTGGTTCATCCAAGGCATGCAGCATACTTGAATGTGGTTCACCATTTTATTTGTGAAACATTTATGTCTTCTGCTGTTTTGACAAATGTTTGTATTTTCTGTAATCAAACAAGCTGCAGTGAATAAGAGGCAATAGTCCACAGTCCAGATTAAAATTATAGAATTTCAGTAGAGTAAAAATAGCACTCTAAAGGAGTAGGGTCTTGAAATAGAACTGGAGTCCAGTTATCTGTCACAGCAAAAAAATGATATCCCCTGGCTATGGAAGTAATTTCTTGCACCTCTCCTTAGTTGAGATTTTCCTTCTCTTAATGTCGGATCCAGTTCAACTATCAAATTTTCATATTCAACTGTTGGCTGTTGGCTGGTGATATAAGACTTTGTCAGCTATTTCAAGTAATGAAAATGAAAAGAACAATCCTTCATTGGCATAAAAGTGTCTTTCGAAAAAATAAGATTTTACATACTTTTCATCCCTTGCACTTTCAAAAAATTAGTGTTGAAACGGTTAGTGAACTTTACGAACCGGGTAATAGTCGGCAATAACCGTATGTTACCCGATTAATCCCGGTTAATTACTAAATATTATGAAAGGAGTCAAAAACTGCATTTGCAGAGGTAACTCACCGTTAACTAAACTAGAGTAAGTGTAAATGAGTACCCAGGAAGATTTTGGCTAGTTCTCCGCGAATTGTCGGTACAAATCGAAAGATACCATACAACCCATTGAAGCTCTGCTTCAATGTAAGATTACGAGCGGGCCTGACAGAGTTCAGACGGACTGGCGCCGTTGTCACTCATTGCTAGAGTCTCTAACAGATCAAAGGTTTTTATACCAGTTGTGGGGTCAATGTAAGAGTGTATCTCATTGAAGCCCCAGCGAATCAGTGTACTGGTTCCACAACTGGTATATAACTATTGTAACAATGAATCTGTACTCATGAATATTAATAAGCTTGAAGATGATTAACAGGCAAGAAGAAACAAACAGCCAATTAGAGGAGAGTTAATAAAAAGTAATACGATCTTTATAACTGTTTTATTCTAAGCAACTCGTACTCGATTGAAATAATAAAAATACTAACAAAACTTATTAAAACACTAGAACATGCTGAAAAATCACTGTGTTACATTTCCCGATATAATAAAAATAATAACAAAACTTATTAAAACACTAGAACATGCTGAAAAATCACTGTGTTACATTTCCCGATATAATAAAAATAATAACAAGATTCAACGAACCGTAGGGTGTCTGATAATGATTACAGTGCTACAGTGCTTATTTGTTTAACCTAATGAACATAAAGGTGCACACAGCGACTGTCAACAAACTAAGGCCATTGCGACGCGATTATCCAGAACGAGTAATTAGTTGAACTATATCAGAAAAGAGGCTAGATAATCTTGACCATAATTCTTGCAACTCGTTATTGTTTTGATAATTGATATTGTTAATTTCTTGATTTATTAATCTCAATTATTCAATCAATAAAGATGTATTGTTAGTAAAGAAAACAGCTTAAAGATTATTATTATTACCTGTTAAATACTACCTGAAATCAGTTAACTTATTAACCGTTCCATTACTACAAAAAATAACAAAAAAAGTGTTTCATGTTGCTTTTTACAGAAAAAATTTTAGACAGAAAACAATTTATATTGTAACTTCTGAACTCTATAGCATCCTTTTAGTTGTGATATTTAGGGTCCTGAAATAACTAGTTACATTATAATATATTATGATTGTAATGTTTATAATAAATATTATTTGATTTAATTATGACAGCAATTTGAGTTGGGCACAGTGTGCATTCTTGTCAAGTGAAGAATTTACTAAATGATTTAAACCTTGCACTTTATTACTGAACAGTACATGTGTTTTACAAATAACAATCCGATGACAATCTGTTCTCATACAATTCAAAGAAACCTTGTTGTGGTTTTTCAAAATTTCTGTACTTACCAGCCTTATGTTTTACTAGCTTATAATGTTTTATTGACTCTAAGCATGTTATCACCCACAAAAGCTTTTAATCTATCTAATATAAAAGTATTTATAAATACCCAATATATATAAAATAAGAGAATGATTAGATTGTATTTTAGAAGGGATCAGATCAAGGGAGTTAATTATAAAGAGTAATTAAGGTAATTAGATAGAGTATAATACTAATCATGTTAATCACGTCATGTTCTATCTTGACATACATTCTTTTCTTCTTTATTATTTCAGCATAATAGTTCTCCAGTGGAATTAGACTCTCAACAACCAAATACAATCCAGAAGAGTGATGGTGAGTAACTGTTCTTTTTGCTGCATTTTGGGGGCTAGATTTTTGTTTTTTGTTTAGTCTTTTTTACTGGTTTGTTGCTTTGAATGTATTTGCCATTAAAGGTTTGTTTTAAACAATATTTTATTCACAAAAATATATTGAAAAGTTTGGGTATTCGGTATGATATATTTTTGTTTACAATACATGTTATATTTGCCATTGACAGACGTGCCTTTCGTGTTAAGCCCTAAAGGTCCTTATATTCCACTGTATGTGCACAATTGCAGATCATTTGAATCTTTTTATGTGATTATTTCACAACATAAACTTCAGTCAGAAAACAAATTTTGCTGTGAAATTGTTTAAGAACCTTTGTCAGTGTCTTACTTTCCTTTAAGTAGTGGTGATATGAGAATAAAATTATCACCTTTCAATACTGTACATCTTATGTTTCATGTTTCTTAACTGTTTTTGTCTGTTTGTGAGATGTCATGAAAAGCAGGAAGTGAAAATTGATATATTAAGTTTTTAAGTGAGATCTTACTTTTTATAAAAATGTGGAGTGTATATGACTCACACCTATGATTATAACAGTTTGATGGTCTGTTTGCAAATTAGTTCATACTTGCTCATAAACACCCAAGCAAGCAAAATTCTTGACTGATCCTGGTGAAATTATTTATTATCAAAAAAAATATTTTATAAGAGTTATCGCTTTTGATTTTTAAAACATGCGTAATATTTAGCGCATAAACATCTAGAAGGCACAATTCTTGACAAATTTGGACAAAACTTTAAGTTGTTCATTATCACCCAAGGACATGTTCGTTAACACACCAGATGGTGGACTGGACTTTACTGGAAGAAGGATTAGCCCTATCAAAAACATAAAAAGCAGAAAGTATCCGATATGAGTTCTTGCCCATGTCCTGAAAAAAATTAAAAATTTTTAGCCCATGAATATGCTAAGAGACACAATCTTTTGACAAGGTTTAACAAGACTTTATTTGTGGATATAAGAATGAAACAATAGGTAAACATATTTTCTATGAATTCTGGTAATGATTGCATTTCTGCCAATTATGTTTATTAAAGCTGCACATGGGTATATGTTACCATGCCTAGCAAACTCTGTAACTATGAGATAATTTATTAAGGTAACTGATGATTTAAGAAAACTGATTTATTAGGGCCTTCAGATTATGTCATCATGCCCTTCAATAAATCATACAAGATTAACATACTATTATAATAGACCTACTATTGTGTTTGACCTCTCTTGAAGACATTATCTATCCAGTATGATGACCTATGTTTTACTCATGACAACTGCTGAAAGATAGTGTGTAATAATTGAGTGTCACAGATGAATTGGTAAGTGGAGGTATAACCTGAGTATATTTTGATTACAATTCACAAACTCAGCTTCATTTGGATAATTCTACTCACTAGTTATCATGTTTTGTCAACTGTGTTAAAGACTGGTGTCTTGTAGATTTCAGTTTGGGGTTTGTATATGAATTTGTATATATAATATAGATACTTATAGTTACATTAATTTGTTAATGAAAATGGTAACAAAGTTTCTTAAATGCAATAATGTATTTGTTAAATTCAATTTACTCTTTTAATTTGCACATTGATTTAATAAAATTGTTTTTTTTTAAATTTAACTTTAGATAAGATTATCATATCATATCAAACATATTTCTCATTTAAAAAACTATTGATCAGAATGATATTCACTTTTGGAAGAAAGATTGTCACATTTTCAAAGTAAAAATGACTTACAACAAAAGCATCAAAATTTGTTTGTGAACAAAATAGAGACCACAGTTTTTATCTGGTTTTAATGAAATTTGGTGCAATCTTTCGATGAATGGATTTTGAGTTATTGCCTGTGACTTCGAAAAACACATCAAACTTTGTTGGCTTGTGAATTAAAACTCTGTTTATTTCATTTTTATACGCCCACATAGTAATGTGGACGTATATTGCCGTCGCCCCTGTCCGTCGGTCGGTTTTTATCTGATCTTGATTAAGCTTGGTATGCATATATATATTGATGAGAACTCGATCAAATTCGAATTTGGTAATAATCGAATGAACAATTTCAGAGTTTTTGCCCTTGACTTAGTAAAAATGCGTTAAATTTGGCTTGTATGCACGATAAAGGCTACAGTTTTTATCTGATCTTGATGAAACTTGGTATGCTTGTATACATTGATGAGAACTCGATCAAGTTCGAAATTGGTAATAATTGGATGAACGATTTCAGGGTTATTGCTCTTGATTTAGTAAAAACTTTACAACTTTGAGGGTGCAATTTTTATCTGATCTGAATGAAACTTGGTATGCATGTATAAATGGATAAGATCTCAGTCAAGTTGAAATTGGTAACAATTGGGTGAACAGTTTTTGAGTTATTGCCCTTGAATTAATTCAATACGTCTAATTTGGCTTGTAGGCCTGATAGAGACTACATTTTGATAAGATCTTAATGAAACTTGGTATGAGATCTCTGTAAAGCTTGAAATTATTAAAAATAGGATGATAGGTTTCACATATTAAACCACTACAGACTTTGTTATCATTTCTGACAGCTGGTAGTGGGCATATGTTACCTTGCCTAGCAGACTATCTTACACTTCTCTAAAGCTAAAAAAATTATTATTTTAGAATGATGCTTTAAATTATGCTTGACCTGAGCTATATACTATATCCAACATGACATGTCATAGTCCGTCTTAACATAAACTTAACATAGCATAATCAGCAGTAATAGTTAGAACTAATAGCCTTTACTAGTAAGTTCAAGCCATCATAAAGCTAACCCAGAACAAGTTTGACTAGTTGTCAGCACAATAATTGTAATAAATATGACCAAATATATTTTTTTTTATTAAAATTTTGCAGTAATCATTTTCTTAATGATGTGAAGTTTCAAATTTCATTGCTGAGCATAGATGATGATTGTGGCAGATTTCATAATTGTGGCATCCATTTTATAGGGTTACTATGATGTTAATGACCTATTATGATTATTAACCAGTAAGACAGTACAATTAATTTTATGCTATATAGGCCTAACATAATATAAATTTTTATCCATCATGAATGTTGTGCATGACATTAAGATTATTTTATTTGACATTTAAAAAGTTGTGCAAGACATTAATTACAAGACAATAAATTATGTATCATAAAATAGGCTAAAACAGGCATAGTTTCTTATAACTGTTAGGTTAACAGAGTATATGTGAAGACTTAAAGATAAGAATTATTCTAAATTAAGTGTTTTTAACATTCTATGACGTCAGTAAACTGTGCAGGAGACTTTTTAGATTGACAGATATCTGAAAGTATTTTAAACTTTGGCTTCATAAACCATTATAAATTTCAAGCTATATATCGTTGTAGCTTGCTGTAGATTTGGTAAAGTAAAAACTATTCTATGACGTGCAGTAGTTAATGTTTTGTTCCCTAAATAGCCATAATAAGTGTTTAATGTTTGACATTACTAGGATCTAGATTTATGAGATAATATTTTTTAATGAAAGATTTATTGAAATGACAATGTTGAAAATTATTTTGGATACAAATCTGTTTAAACTAAGTGTAAAAATTGGTGTATTGTACGATCTTTTGGCTTGAAATATGAAAATCATATATTAGGTATGTTATAATAATTCCATGTTTTTTTTGAGTCAGAAGTATAATGATATGAATGTTTATTGCTTTGATCAGTTACTATAGTTAATTGTGATATATTATGTTATGATATGTTAAAATTCATAGCGAGGATAATCAATTATAATTTTGCCCCTCCCTAGGCAGAAGGAGTGATGATATAACTAACTTAGAACCTTGCTCTACCTGTCAGTCAAAATTTCAAGAGAGATTCTTAATGATCAGTGTCTAATTGATAGAAAATTATGCCAATGCTGATAGGATGAATAAAAAGTGGGCTAGGTTCTAATGTAAGATGTTTCCTAAAAGTGGATTGTCCTCTTGTTATTGTTTATTAACTTTTTCATTTTCCCTCTTAAGAAAGTCATAAATATAAATCTTACAAAGCAAGTTGATTTATCAGTAACCAATAAATAATCATCTTAGAGTATGAATTGACATATTAATTGTAATGAAACAGTTTAAATAGTAAAGTATTAAATTGAACAATTAACCTATTTTTGGAAAGGATGTTGTTCACAACATAGTTTTAGGATGATGTTTTTCGAAGTCGATATCCATATCCTTGTGATCTTTAGAAATGTCATTCAAATTGTTGTTAATAGACTGGATCATTCCTCATATTTATATATCAGTTTCAATAAGTTCTCGTCTTGAAACATATTATTAATGGTTCAGTTAGCGTGTTTGTAACATTAGAGGTAGGATGTTTAACAGTGTGGATATTCACATTGCAACAAAAGTTATCCAGTTATATTATTAGTCTACTTTTAATGGTTATTTTACATGCAAATCAATTGGGTCTTGACATATTTTGCTGTCCCAGAACCATTTTGGTTTAGCTAGATTGGCCTTTATTATTGGTATCAACTACGTATATTGATATATTGTTTTATTGAGTTAGTATCTAACTTTAGTTCATTTATAAATAGCACATTCTTCAATGTTATGAAAGAGGTTTGTTCTTCTCATTTTAGAGTCAGAAGCCAGTGTCTCTATGCCAGTATCCACAGCTAGTTCTAATCCAGCATCCAAACTTCTAGACTCTCAATCTTCATCACATAACAAACAGGAAATACAGCAATCAAACGACACACCAATAGTAGAAGTGTCAAGTGACATGGCCGAAGTGGCAACTCTGAATCCAGAAGATACAACAAGAAAAATGCGTCCTTTAAAAACATCGAACAGTGGAGCTGACATCACATTAGGTTTAGAAGATGCTGATGGTACTACAGCAGAGGTAGAAATTGATGTCAATGATAATGAAAGTGAAATAGCACCAGGTAAAATATTTTTAGTTAAGTTGAATGGTTCACTGTTTTTGCATTTCTATAAAGGTTTTTTTTTTACAAATATTTGAGTTTCATAACCTTGGCTTTGATCAATTTCCTCATGTAATTTGATGTAGGTTGGAGTGGTTAACATGAAAAAGTATTTGTTTTGATAGGGCTAACCAATGCCTATCTATATTAGCCAATACAGGAGTAGAAAAGTATAATGTGGAACTTTATTTTATTTCAGAGGAAATTCCAAGAGGAAAAGTTCGAAAAGCTTCCATTGTAGAAAAACTAAGTAAGACCAAAGCATCTGAGGCCTATGTAGCAACAGTTAAGGTGAGATTTTCAGTCATGAGATTAAATTTAGTCGATTTCGTGCTTGCTGGGAGACATTTCACTTTGAGTGATCAACATCAGGATTTCATCCTTACTATCTCATGTATTTGTAGAAGTTTCAGATGTAACCAAAAGCTATTTGAATTCAAACAATTTGGATGACTATAATTTGAACTGTTTCTTCTTATATTCAACACAGTACCCTGTGAATAATTTCTGTCAATCCAATGAAAACATCTTTTGTTTTTAAATTGACAAAGAAAAAATTTCTAAAGATTAAAAAGAAATATAATGCAAGTAGGAGTATGAAAATGACAAGATTCTGTGTGACATGTTATTAGATCTCTAATGATGTATAATAAAACATTATATTTGTTGTGTTAATGAGGACAATAAAACTTCTAGCTATTTTTCATACTAATTGCTTTTTTTCTGTTACTTGCATGGGTTGGAAAGGTTATCATGCACAAAGAAAACAGACTCAGTAATCTTGATCTGCCTTTAATCAGATTAAATTTGTGATTTTAAATATTTCTTTTATTTTAGTCTTCAGCAGAACAGAGAGCAAAAGATTTTGAAAAATTATTAAATGAACATGCAGAAATCGTCCAAGAAATTGGGAGAACGGCCAGTGCAGAGAATCTTACTTCAGATGAACGAGACCCTTAGTGCCATAAGATCATAAACTATAAATTTGATGATGATTGTTTGACAGCCCATGTGTATATAACATTATTTTGAGTGAGTGTGGTATATACAACAAGAGTCTAGAACACTTCAACATTTTATTTAAATGAACACTGTGGAATTTCACCGGGTTACGATGGTGCACAACTCATGTTTCACAGTGTTTTTATAGTGGAGCTACTCTCTGTTGACATTCACAGTTTATAGTGGAACTCGGCTTTATGGTGGAACTAAATTTTTATGCGTTTTTATGATGGAACCAACTCTGTTGATTATGAAACTTCTTCGATGGACATTTTTTCTGATTTCAGTGATTTATGATGGAATTCTACTCTAATTTTCCATGGTTTATGACTGAACTCTATTCTGATTTAATTGGTTTATGATGGGAACTATTTTCTGGTTCAATGGTTTATGATGGGATCTCTCCTATGATGATAAAAGTTGTAGTGAATTGTTTGAAAGGGCTATTATCAATGCCTATTTGTATTCATATACTGTTATTTAGTGGATAAATAGAAAACTAAATTCAAGAGGAATTCAAATGGCATTTAGTGTTCATTAAATTTATTACCTTTGTTCTGTCATGAACTATGTACTTTTCATTTGTTCTAATTTATTATTGACTATCTTTATAATAAGTACGATCAATATTGTAATTATCTCCCTTTGCTCCATAATAGATGTACCTCTTCAACTTTGGAGATTTGATTTATTGTACAAGCAATGACTTTGCTATAAATATGCTTTGAGAACATTATCTGATATGTTCTGAAAATATTAAAATTACTTTGTAATGTTCTGTATTTGCTCATTGATAATGCTACATGTATATTATCAATACCTAATATACCGGTTTGTACATTTCTCTAATCAAAAGTTCAGCTTGTAGTAATCAAATATTGACTGAATCTGGATTAGGCCCACACACATATGATAGATAATCACTAAAATTGAACTGAAAAACTATAAAATAAAAATTCTAATGAAAATCTTACTTTTTGACTTGATTAATAGAATTCAATACTGTTTTGGAATCTTTTATGTTAATTCATTAACTTTTGCCATTTAATGGTAGAAGCTTTATGGTTGTGATTTGAATTTCCGAGGCTGATTACATTGTTATGGCTGGGTCAAAATTCTGCTTATTCAAAATTTTGATTTGTGTTTTCAGGAATATTGAAAAATAGAACAAATTAAAAATCTAACATTACATTTTTTTGAAATTTAGAATTATGCTTGACCAATTTATACTCATGGAAATAGGCATGATTATTCCGTACCTTACTCTTATCTACTCTATCTTTTGTTTCTGTATAATTCGATGTTCAAATTCAAAGTTTCCAAATCTTATTTTATTGTTGTGATTTGAAATAGTACAGTTTAAAGCATTCCGTATAGTATATAATAAGGTCAGCCAATATACAAATATAGATAATGTTATATATCAAGATTTCATTATAAATGATGGAATCCAATTACCACATTCAACTTTGTATCATTTTCATAATTAAAGTTTAATTTGTTTTGACCACAGGCATTTGTAAACAGAATCTTACACTAATCAATGATGTGATGATTAACCTCATAATTTATGATGAATCCTATGTTCTTTTACAAATGCCTATGTTACATTTGTACACATTTTTGTTTGTTTGTTTGCATCATTTTGAAAATCAACTCTGAAAGTTTTATTTGTTTTGATTGCAGGCATTTGTTTGGAGATTTTAGTAATGAAAATAAATCAAATTATGTTAAAGGGGTATTCCGCTTTTTTGTAAAAAAAATTTCATCAAAAAACATCGTAAATTATACCTATAAATATTTCTAAAGTATGCTTATCATATCTATATATCTTCTCGATCAAATTGAATTTGTTTTAAAAGCAGTTTGATCTAGTTTTGGTGTTTGGCTTTATAATGGCTAGATATTATTAGTTGAAACCTTTAGAATATGTAAGAGACATATTTCTCTACAATTAGGTGTTTATCTCACTCAAATCCATACAGTAGTTTTCTAACAGCTTCCAAAATGCAGAACGAAACCTTACATAATGTTTTGAAATATTTGTGGCGTTTAAAAATCAATGTCTTGATACTTTAAGGGATACATTTCTCTAGATTTTGTTGTATAGCTAACATTAATTTGAGCAAAAAATTTTTGGACCTAAAAAAAAAAGCGGAATGTCTCTTTAAAATCTGATAGTTAAAAGGATGGTATATTCAGTTACAAATGCCTGTGATATTATTTGTAAAATGATTTGTTTGTTAAAGATTGAGATGTTTATTTAGAGTTATTATAATTTATCACGATTGTGATTGTTTTATGTAGACATCATTTCATTGTATTATCATATTTTCTTAAATTTTGATTGAATTAGACTTCAAACAAGTCTGGCAAATAAGACAAAATATAAAAATAATGTTTCTATTTCTGTTAGTAATGTAGGTACTTAAAACACTTTGATATATACCATTGCTGTTAAAGGAACAGTAGCGCCATTTTGGGGGTTGATTTGAGTCTTGAATATATGTAAATGGTACTAGAAATGTACCAAAACACATAATTCCTTCAAAAATATCTCCCGTCTTAATTAGCCCACATGGTGCAGAAAAGTAGGACTTAAAAATCCGTTCATTTCATTTCAAAAATATCTCAAACTAAGAATTTTTTCCTATTTCTATAGATGTTTTTTTTTTTTTATAAATTACAGTGTCTTAAAGACAACAATAATTCTGGACACACATGAATTTGAAGTCTCAAATCTTGGCAGTGAGCTGTAAACACGAAAACTGTTTGGCTTAGCTAAAAAATTCCCATTTCTGAAAATTCAGTATGATTGATATGAAAAAAAAAATGGCGCATCTGTCCCTTTAAGTTGTCTACAATCAATGTATCTTATTCAGTTGGCAGCCTTTGTAGATATTAAAAATACTTAAGCCAAAGTTAGTATTAACAATAATTTTGGCAATTTCTAAAATTCGGAAATAGAACTTTTCTTGTATCGCAGGATGCAATGATTTGATTGGATTGTATTTTAGCAAATACAGCGAATCAGAGCCCTCGACAGAAAGATTGTCAAGGTGTCTAATTGGTTGTATTTGCTAGCATACAATTCAGGCCCATAGTTAAGAGATATTGTTTTGTCACCTACAACAGGTTTTTGTATAGTCAATGTCTTCATATCAGCTAGCAATGTCATAATTAAATTCTCAATTGGGATCCTATGTAAAGTTTGTTTTTGACTGAAAGATAACTTGTGTAGACATTAGATTGTAATGAGCTGTAGGATACAATACAGCAATAAATTATTGTGTACATATGAAAAATAATGATCAAATAAATTATTAAAGACATTTGCATGGTAAATTATTGTAAGATTCACTTTCAGAAGGTGGCGAAGGGAATGACATCTCCAGAACCATCAGTAAACACATTACATTTTTAGTTCCAACTTATAGAAAATCCTGACAAATACTTTAACAGAACTTTACGATGGCAAGCATCTGTCAAAGAGAATTATCCCATTCTGACAATTTGATTAAATTCAAAAAGATATATAAAATTTATTGCATGTATGGAAATAATGTACAAAAATTAAAATTATATATTCCTGAATGTTTAAAGACTAGAATATTGTAAACTGTACAATACAGTAAAAAGAGCACTTTCTTTCTTCGACCTCTTGGACAAAAAGTAATGTGTGGTAAAATCTTAAGCCTTATGAAGATACAAATTAAAGAATATTAACAGTTGTATTCTGTAGAGTTAGCATGAGATGGTCCTTAGAAATTTGGGAATATCATTGGCATGCATGATGAATATCGGCAAGGGAGACTTTTTAAGGCAGTTTGAACATGTATATCTATAACCATAAGAAAATATAGTTTCAGAAACAATAACATTTGAAACAAATATACAAAAAATATGACCTTTTCAATAACACCAAGCAATTCAAACCAAAATATTAAAACTTATTGCATAAAATATAATACTGATTAGTATTTAACTATATAGATTATATAATATAATTAATTCAGCAAAATAAAGGCATCAAAGAAATTCATTTTGGACCAATCATATTTTTGGCCACAACCCATTCATCAAATTGAGATTCTGTTAAATATTGAAGTTTTAAGGCTGCTTTTTTTAAAGACGTTCCCTCACAATGTGCAAGTTTTGCAATTTGACAGGCCTTGTCGTATCCAATATGGGGATTCAATGCAGTCACTAACATAAGAGATTCATTTAAACTTTGATCAATCTTCTCTGTATTAGCTTGAATACCAACCACACAGTTAGAGCTAAATGATACACAAGAATCAGCTATCAATCTTGTCGATTGTAAAACATTCTTCACTATCATTGGCTTAAATACATTTAACTCAAAATGGCCGTTACTGGCACCAACAGACACAGCCGTTTGATTACCTATGACTTGAGCGGCCACCATTGTAATAGCTTCACATTGGGTAGGATTCACCTTTCCTGAAACATAATTTCAATATAATACATGCAATGCTCCAATGTAAAATGTATATTCCAACTATTTTGTAGCAGCTTTGATTTATTACCATTATAATGTAGATCATGATAAATTACACAGTATCATATGGATGTTGGTATATAGTTTGTTATAAAGGGGATATGGTCATCTTAAATTTTGCTAAATGTAAGATATTTCAGATTCAAAATTACACATACCATTTAACAAAAGCACACTATTACATCTCTTCATAATTTTTGGGACGCGAAATTCCAAGTTTTATGTTCTTAAAGCCACACAAATAGTTCATATTACATTCTATCACCTGGTCAATCAGATATTTGTTAGCAGGCTCCAGTTCCTTTTTTCAGTCCTCTGATAGGAAGGACTGAACTGAATTATTTCAAAGAAATTACCTGGCATGATACTGCTTCCTGCTTCATTTTCTGGAAGACTGATTTCACCTAGACCACATCTTGGTCCTGACGCTAGAAATCGGATGTCGTTTGCAATCTTCATCAAACTACATGCTATTACATTCAAGGCACCATGGACTTCTACCATAGCATCATGAGCAGCTAAAGCTTCAAATTTATTTGGTGCTGTTACAAATGGTAACCCTTTCAAGAATAAATTTCAAGATGACAATTTCTTTCTTTATCTACAAAGCCTATTCCAAGAAGTTGGCACTGAATGTCAGCCATGAATCATACAGGTTAAAAATGTTTGACATTTGATCTGAAAAAGGATGATTTCTCAATTTTTGTGTACTTGTTAACATTTAGTTTGGAATCAGAACTCATGAGAGGTAGTTTAACATATCATATGAATTACATTCCATATCTACCTGTATAGTCTGCTATTTTCTCTGCTATTTTTTCAGCAAAACCAATTCTTGTATTTAACCCTGTACCAACAGCTGTACCACCTTTGAAATACCAAAATAAAACAAAATAGTCAATTTAAAATGAATTTTTTGTTATTTAAGCTCAATGCGAAATGTAATGCCGTAACAGTATGTTAAAGGTAAATAGGACAGACAGTCACTTTTTCAGCAGAAGTATTACTTGATATAGCAGGAAAATCCAATCCACAACCAGTTGCAATAGGTTGGAATAAACACAGATTGAACAGATCACAATGTTACAGGTTTCAGTGAATGAATAATGATTGATCTTACCAGCTGCTAAATGATAAAGTCGAGGTAAAGTTGATTTGATTCTTTCTATACCAAACTCTATCTGTGTAACATACCCACTAAATTCTTGTCCTAATGTTAAAGGCACTGCATCCTAAAAAATTAATTAACATCACAAATGAAATATAACGATTATTCTAGCTTTTGGTTAAAATGTGTGAATATGGTCTTTTTCTTGCAATCATTTACTAGGTAACTAGAAGTTTGGGATATGATATGATATGATATGATATGATTAGGGCCACCAAATACTATCCCCTTTAAAATTGCACTAAGCTAAATTTACGCTGAGGTAGCTAAAATCACCATAAGCAACAATAAACATTTACATACCTGAGTATGAGTTCGGCCTATTTTCACAATATCTTGGAAATCTTGTACTTTATGACTTAGAGAACTGTGTAATAATTTTAAAGATGGTAATAATCTATTGTTTATTTCTACTGCTACTGCTATATGCATGGCTGTTGGGAATGTATCATTAGAACTCTGCAATATAAAAAGAACAATTCTGGGTAAGCTAAGGGAATAAATTCTTCTTTGCAACCAATTACTTTAAGGCATGTGAAATTGGCTACAGGTTGGTGAAAACATCCCAAAGTAACAAACTTTGTTTTGTTTTCTCCTCTTCTTCAACTTTTTGAGATATTAATCTTCATATGATTTTATTGTGAATTTCAAAAGCAATGAGGGTCTGAAAATGATCATTTTGATGATCTATACCAAGATATGATCATTATGATGTACTATACCTGGACATGATCATTATGATGAACTATACCAGGACATGATCATTATTGTGAACTATAACGGGACATGATCATTATAATGAACTATACCAGGTAATGATCATTATAATGAACTATACCAGGACATGATCATTATGATGAACTATACAGGGACATGATCATTATGTGAACTATACCAGGACCTGATCATTATGATGTACTATACCAGGACATGATCATTATGATAAACTATACCGGGACATGATCATTATAATGAACAATACTGGAACATGATCATTATAATGAACAATACTGGAACATGATCATTATGATGAACAATACTGGAACATGATCATTATGATGAACTATACCAGGACATGATCATTATAATGAACAATACTGGAACATGATCATTATAATGAACAATACTGGAACATGATCATTATAATGAACAATACTGGAACATGATCATTATGATGAACTATACCAGGACATGATCATTATAATGAACAATACTGGAACATGATCATTATGATGAACTATACCAGGACATGATCATTATGATGAACTATACCCAATAAATATTGAACTATATCTACCTGTGACATGTTGACATGATCATTTGGATGAACTGGATTTTTACTGCCTAGAGCTCCACCCAATATTTCTATACCTCTATTACTGATAACTTCATTTATATTCATATTAGTTTGTGTACCAGATCCTGTCTGCCATATTACAAGAGGAAATTCATCATTTAATTTGCCCTCTATTATCTTAAAACAAAATTATATAATACATTTAGATTCCTCTGTTAATGTTTAAAATGTAAACTGGCAAAGTGTTAATGTAAAGTGTTAATGTAAACTGGCAAAGTGTTAATGTAAAGTGTTAATGTAAACTGGCAAAGTGTTAATGTAAAGTGTTAATGTAAACTGGTAAAGTGTTAATGTAAACTGGTAGTGTTATTGTAAAGTGTTAATGTAAAGTGTTAATGTAAACTGGTAGTGTTAATGTAAAGTGTTAATGTAAACTGGCAAAGTGTTAATGTAAAGTGTTAATGTAAACTGGTAAAGTGTTAATGTAAAGTGTTAATGTAAACTGGCAAAGTGTTAATGTAAAGTGTTAATGTAAACTGGTAAAGTGTTAATGTAAAGTGTTAATGTAAACTGGTAAAGTGTTAATGTAAAGTGTTAATGTAAACTGGTAAAGTGTTAATGTAAAGTGTTAATGTAAACTGGTAGTGTTATTGGAAACTGGTAAAGCGTAAACATAAATTTGTAAAGTTTGTAATTGAACTATCTGATTATGCGAATCAGATCCATGATCTGACAAGGGTGTTATTTGATTTCTGTTTTGGGTCAATTTATATAGCAAATCAAATAATCTGTTCAATAATAGATAAGAATGATCTTCAATAGAATTTGTATGTAGGCCCAACAGTAAATGCAGAAGTCTACCAGTCTGTCTTAGTCTATTCAAAGTTAATGTACATTCCTAACAAACATTAATTAATAAATTTCAAAGGGAAATGTAATTATAAAGGTTTTATTTTTTAATTAGTTGATACAAACTTAAATTGAATTAAAATAATATGTGGAATGAATTAAGCAAGTGAAATAATTATCTTCATACCTCATCACAAACTTGAGTAATGACATCAACTATCTTATCATCTAATCCAAATTCTTTATTCACATTTGCTGCACATCTTTTTAAAACACCAAATGCTTTAATAAGTGGTAGCTACAAATCAGAATACTCATTTGCTTAATAAATTTGACAATTAGTGTCTTTGGACATCAAACGGTCTCACTGCAGATAAACCAAACGAACGACTATATCAGGCTTCAAAATTTTCAACTAAGAAATAATAAGACATGTGCCGATACAATTTATTCTAAAAAAACATACTTGATTAACATTTATTTTTAACATTTGAAGATCTACTTTGTAAGAAACCCTTTAGTCAGATTCGAAAATAGATAGGCATACAGATAGATGAAATTGGGGTCTACTTTCCTAATCCAGTCAACCAAGCTGTAAATGGCTTACAGATAATCTAAGATAGAAAAGATCCTAAGTGAACCTAAATTGTTATCCTATGTAAAAAATGTAAAGAATTTCTTTTACTTACTGGCATACGTTCACTATCCCCTCCAATATCAAAATTTATTATAGATCTAGCTGTATTAGCTCCATAATATCTATCTTTAGACACTTTAATTTCTCCAAAACTATCTGTCTCTATTCTAAAATCAGTCTGAAAAAAAATATTGAGCTTACTTATTAATGCCTTCCAATTAATACTAACAATTTCAAAGATAAATATCATAAAATATTATAGGTTACTGTATGCTTTTAAATTTAGAATTGATTACACATGATCAACTGAAATCATTGAGGCATTATCCTACTCTTCAGATGATAGATATTGAAGTTTTACTCTAGTTAAAGTTCTCTATAAATGTATAAGATAAGTCGTTCTGAGTCAAATTTTAAATTTTTGTTAAACTGCACGTTTTGGTGTTTAGTCAGAAATCACTTATAGTAGGCCTAAAAGAAGTGGTGGTCCGAGTCCTTGAATACTTTAAAATCATTCGATTAAAACATTAACAGTTGGTGAAAAATATACAGAATCGAAAAAAATATTCAGAAAATGAACATCATATGAAATATATCATGCAAACCATTTTAATAAATTCACAAATATCCAATTTTCTTCAGTTACCAATCGACCCCTGACACGAAGCGTCCAATGTCACGTTTTATATTTATGGGAGATAACGCTTCTTTGTTTACATTTTTACTACTCTTAATTTCACAACTTCATGCAATTTTGCAAAATCTGCGGAGACCTAATAAATAAGATTTATTCGGAGATAAAAATTTAAGAAATATGGCTCATAGGGTAGGCAGAAGACGGACTGTAAGTTATTTTCATTTAATTTATTCGAAAGACTCGTAATTATTACTTTTATGTTTGGATGGGTGTGTCTACTAAACAAAATCACCCAAATTGACAGATTTACAGGCTACATGGGACACCAGAAAAGTGGAGTTAATTGGAAAAGTGACTGTTAGAGATGAAGTGTAAATTAATTTCTAATTTATTGTAGGGTGGTGATTCTACAACTAAACTTTCTAAATCATTGTCTTGGTTATTACGACATGGTGCAGAGAAGGAAGGGTTTAAATATTTACCAGGTCTGTAGGCTATTATGGGTATTACTTGCATGACCTTCAAATTAGTATCCAAATAAAATCTTAGACAAATATCATGATTTAAATCCCACATTTGAATAATAAAAAGTGATCATAGTGTTCACATTTTATATTTTTTATCTGTCTTAATTGACACTTAACAACCTGCTAGTATTTTCCAGGTGGCTTCCTGTATGTAGATGAAGTCCTAAAGAAAGATCAGTTTAAGAACTATACAGAAGATGATATCAAACATGTCGTAGCAGTCAATGAAAAAAATAGATTTGCTATTAAGGATGACAGAGAGTCAGGTAGATTGTTAATTAGAGCTAATCAAGGCCATAGTATACAGGTAAAACATTTCCTTGATGCAATAACTGATATAATTACTAAGTAGCGCCAATTGATCCTCTTGATTTACCAGTATTGTCATCAAGAGTAAAAATTTATGTTTGTGTTGAAGACATTTTACTTAATGACATTGTGTCAGATTTTCAAATAAGAGAAATAATTTGAATTGCTTAAAATATTTCGATATCAAAATATCCTTCGTAAATCAAAATATGTGGGGAATTGATAAGTAGAGATGATATATTTTGGAGTATTTTATTCAAATACAGGTAGATGATTTAGAACTTACACTAGTTGACAATGCTGATGATTATCCTACTGTTGTGCATGGCACCAACTTAACAGCTTGGTCTTCAATAAAAACTCAGGTAGTATATAAATTAGTTTAATTCTTCCCTTGTGCCTGCTTTTTCGACAAGCCTGTACAATTATTAGATGATAGGAAATTAAAAAAGTGGTAATATTAGATGAAGTTCTTGAATTATTAGGTTTAGCCTATGGCATTGTGAAGCTTAATTTAGCTTTTCAATGATCAGAGATTTGTCTTCAGAAATTTTTAATAACGATTCTAGAACACAAAGCAATGATCCAAAGCAGCAATTTTGCAGCAAACTAAATTAGAAACTAGGATCAAATGTTATGATCAAACTCAATTAATATTTGGTATTGTTTTTAACTCTCCTCTCTTGGCAATCGGAAATTATTTGGTAACATTAAGACAGTGATATTAAGGATTACTTTCCAAAAATTCAGGGATTAAGTAGAAGAAATAGAAATCATATACATTTTGCTATTGGTGAACCTGGTGAGAATGGTGTCATAAGTGGTAAATATTTTTACATACACCTTTGGATACACCCAAACTAATCACAAAATTTTCTGAATTGAATTGGTTGATAAATGCCATTTTTAATGGGGCCAGAGACTGATCTCTTTTTATTAACTGAGATATTTTCATTAATTTAGAACAAATTCATAATAGCAAATTACAAATCAGTAGTAAAATATAACATACAAATTGCTGACACAGCTTAGCTTATGGTATTGTGGTTATCCATGGAAGATTTCTATTTCAGGTATGAGACAATCCAGTGAAGTTGTTATTTATCTAAATCTACAAAAGGTTCTTCAAGGTAATTTCTTTAATTAATATTACTGTATGTGCTTAAATTTGTTCTTTTATTATAAATATTGAAAGTAACTTCAATGATGACATGTTATGCTGTGTTTGTAGATAATATCAAAGTATATAAATCAGTGAATAATGTTATACTCTCTCCTGGCGATCAACATGGCTTTATACCATCATCCTATTTTACGCAAGTTTTAAACAGAAAAACAAGTAGGTTTCTTCTTTTATTTTGTCATTATACCCAATAGTAAACAAATTGAAGAGATTATATTAATTGCACTGAAGATTCTCTGTATGAACAACAGATGTTACAAATAGGATTACTAAATCTATGTAATAAACTGTGAGGGGATATTGGTTGTTTTGATCTATGTCATAATTATTTTTAAACTTAACCTATCAGGGAGACATTGTCGAAGAATTGGAAAATTAAATTGTTGATTTGACATTTCTCTCTGTTCTGTTTTCATATTCCATTACATTTATAATTATTACCGTACATTATCATCTTTCAGGAGAGGTACTGCTCTAAAAAATGAAACCTTGGATTGAATGAATTGTTACTGAACTTTATTTCTTGATACACCAACTGTGATACCAATTTCATTATTCATATTTTTATGTTATAAATATTTAATAAAACAGTAATTGAAGAATTCTTTAATTGTATTGCACTGTTAAGTTCAATTTGATAAGTCTGAAAAATGTTTATAAGAAGTTGTATGATCTATAACCCATTTAAGACCCTTTCTTAAGCATTACTTATCACTTTTTTACAAGAGCAGCTGTATGATAATATGAACAAGATATCCCTAATGCTTTATATTTACTGATGTCTTCAACACGTTTGGGAACATCTGATCTGTATAAATAACGGTGTCCAATACTCTCTGGATGTCCTAGTCTACCATCACTACCACATCCCCAAGTAAATACATGGCCTTCCTTACTTAATGCACAACTATGAATACCTCCTGCACAAACATCTATTATACTTTCATTATCAAAGGAGTGTGAGTTGATCTGTCGTGGTTCTGCTATAGAGCATTGATCTCCATGACCTAATTTCCCTTTGTAACCATCTCCCCATGAATAAACGAATCCATTTGCAGTGCTTGCCAAGGTATGGCCATGATGTTCACCAACACTACAACTTAAAACTGTGAATCTCACATCTCTCACTATTAACTCTTTGGGTTCCATCTGATTATGGACATCCTTTCCAAACCCCAGAGCACCATCACTACCTTTACCCCACATATAGATCTTTCCCTCATCAGTTACTGCCCCTGAATGATTGTAACCTGCACACATTGTTGTAATTTTGTGTCCCATTAGTTTTTCAATGATTTTTGGCAATGGTACATCTTCAACTGATCCATGGCCTAATACTCCAAAATGTCCACTACCAAAAGAATAAGCTGTACCATCCAATGACCACATTAATGTGTAATTAAAGCCACATGATACACCAGATATTTGAATACCATCAATTATTGTGGGTGGCACTGCAGCCATTGTCCTGTCCTGTTTCCCACATGGTTTAGGATGTCCCCATATACACAAATTATCCTGCTGGTTGATACAAGCTCCATGCCAAATTCCACTGGCTATCTGAAAACAGAAAAACGGATTCAGGTATTGCAAATCATTACTCTACACTCCTTCAGTCTAAACATAAATTAAAGAAAGCCATTTCAGGATATATTTGCATTACCTTGAAAATAGTCTCACCAAAATTATCTCAGAAAAGTATTATAAGTAGCTATAGAAATTATGACTGCGCTATTAACAAACCCGTTTATTAGTATTTCCTAAATTTGACACGTCTTGAAACTTTAATTGTTCTGTGGTGGCCCCATTTCCAAGTCTGCCATTTTTACCACAACCAGACGTAAAAACCCTACCATCTGCCGATAAAGCAGTGGTAAATAAACCACCACAACTAATTTGTACAACTTGTGATGTTGGTTTATCGTCATATTTAATTGGTCGAGGAATGGGGCTGTTCTTCTTTTCACCAGACCCTAACTGTCCTGAAATTCCTAGACCCCACAGGTAAACAGTTGTTATCCTTGACATCGTATTCATTTTACAACATTAAAATGTGTGTTACGGTACTTAAAATAACCATTAGTCATACATTAGAAGGGAGATAACTATTTATTTATTAACTTAGCAGAAAACAGCTAATGTATCTTGATACACTGTACATCGCTATCTTTGTTTTATACATCGCTATCTTTTATTCTCAAAATGTGTAACTGTTCAATTTCTCAAAAAGTTGCCTAATCGAAACCCAGTGTAGGCCCAATTTTACACCATTTAAACAAAGCAAAGTCATTACTTTTTGACATAAAAGTTTCTATCCAACATCGGCAAAAAAATGTTTTGAGAATATCTAAAAATAAGCCTACGTGGCAAATTAATACAAATTAATTTATTCCGTTCAATCCAAGTTCGTTATGCTTTTGGAAGCTGTTATAAAACTATCCTTGTCTAATTGTAGAGTTCCAACTAATAATATCGAGCCTTTATAAAGCCAAACACCAAAATTAGATCAAACTATTTAATTTCAAACTGCTTAATAAACAATTAAAACAAATTCAGTTTTCAAATTTTCTTTTGAAATGAACAAAGAATATACATAGATTGAATAGCATACTTTAGAAATATTTTCAGGTATAATTTACTTTACAAAGAAGCAGAATACCCCTTTAATACAACTAAAAAATTATGACACATATCTTCTACCGGCTTTACTTTATTTCAGAAGTACGAACATGTTGCAGTTATTGGATAAACTATCTACCCCTGCTGTTGTATTTGCAACACTTTCAACTTTAGCTGTTACAAAATACGTATTTGCTGGTTACTTGAGATGGAAAAGAAGCAAGGATTTTGTTAAAGTTGGAACAATCGAATGCGTGTATTGTTTTCCCATTAAATCATGCAGCGGGATGAAAGTACAACAGGCCGAGTGTTCGAAATTAGGTATCAGAGTTCACGGTGTAACTGACAGGTGGGTACAGAACAGATATTAAGAATAACGTCCATAGAAATATTGACATAATTTTCATGGTCAGTTTTGCGGGTTGGATAGGACTGGGAGGGCTACACCCACGACATCAATTTGCCCCAGTTGAGTAAATCTGAATCTTAATATTGTGTTCGGATTAGGACTACAGATTATTGTATTACTTTGAGTAATCACGTCGTGTAAATTGATCCGCGTGATGTATATTACCATTTACTCATTCGGAATACTTATTTCAGACATTATCTTGTCATTCAACCAAATGGAGATTTCATAACACAAAGACAAGAACCTAAAATGGCTCTTATAAAAGTTACTGCTATTCATGGAGAGATACAACTTACAGCTGATGGAATGTCATCATTGAACATACCCAAAGATTTGTCAAAAAACAATCAAATCATTGACTGCAGGTATTTAATAGCTGTTCCTAAACTTTATCAAATTACTCTACCTTCTGTCCTTCAGAGTGCGAGAGCCAAAACATGTTTGAGCATGCTTGGAACTAATGATTCTCTATATTCTTTTTTTAATCTTTCCCTTATGATCTTTGATTGTACTTGAGATACACATTAAATGGGAAAAGGCCCAGTAGCCTACGTTACAAAAATGTATCCGGTGATGTTCGGCATTTGCGAGAAAAATTCAAATTATCGTTGTCCACGTGTGATAACATGAAACAAGAATATCTCAGATCAGTTTTATAGGTAATATATAATATATGTTATCTCATATTATTTATCCTCCCATTAACAACAGGGTATGGAATGACAGAGTAAAAGGTATGGACTGTGGACAAGAAGCATCAGATTGGTTACATAAGTTTTTAGGCATACCTGGATTAAGATTGGTCCATTCTTCTTCTGATCTTCAGAAAAGGGACTGTTCGAAACCGTCGAAACCCTGGGGTAACCCTGCCAAGCCCGGCGACGAGGTAATTCTACAATAAGCGTTTGGTCGATTCATCTGAAACATGCATTGATGCATTATACTTTTGTTAATTGCAAAAAAAAAAAAATTGATACGAAAAGAAAAGAATATAACTGATTGAGTTTTTCCACCAATACAAATATATTTTTACTTATTCAGGTAGCGTATGGAGACTTTTGTGCTTATCTAATAGCCAACACTGCCTCATTAGAGGACCTGAATAAAAGGTTGTCGTATCCAGTAACATTCTCCAATTTTAGACCAAATATTGTGGTTAAAACAGACGTTCCATATGATGAGGTGAGAAGGTCAGCTATACATGCACACGTTCTTTTAATCATGGGTTCACATTCTTATTGCTTCCAGTTGAATGAATCGTCCAGTATTGTCAACACCCAATCTTACCCAAAAATCATGCATCAATGCATACGATGCTGTAGTGAAAGGATTAGATTTTGCCTTAGAGCAATGCAAGTGACCAACAGAAGTAACAGTCGATTCCGAAGGTCACCGAAAAATCTTAAATTGAACTTTTCTTCGTTGTGAAGAATGCTTGGCTGAATTTAAGCACATTCTGTTCTTTTGTAGGACAATTGGTCTGAATTAAGGATTGGAGAAACTATTGATATGCGAATGCTGGATGGCTGTACAAGGTACGACAACGAGATACTTTTGAAATAATCACAAAGGCTAAACTTTTCGGGTAATCACAAAGGCTTATCATCTTGAAACTATTCCACATGTTGCTTTAGAATATGATCACGGAGGATCGACGATCAAAAGTTAATGTATTGACTGTATAATTTCAGATGCCAATTAACAACTGTTAACCCCGATTTAGGTGCTAAATCATTATCTGGAGAACCACTAAAAACTTTGAAGGCGTAAGTATTGTGGTTTGAAAAATATTTATTCTAAATACTTTGATGAAAAGGTATCTCCTTTCCAAATATTCCGATACTTTTTCTTTAAAAGTAAGATGATTTAGGGAACCTCACGAATACAAGTTTTGTTATGTTTCAGATTCCGATGTTTTAAGCAATATGGATCGAGTCCTATATTTTGTGTCAATGGTACAGTAGATACACCAGGACCTATAGCAGCTGGTGATCCTGTTTATGCTATAAGGAAATATTGAATTGTGCACTTACATATGCATGAATAAATAAATATCACATTATTTTTGTTTTTGGCACAGATACGAATCTTAATCTCAAGTCATAAAATATTTCTCGCGTTACATGCTGCACGCGTCAAGAAATGACCTTGAGCTAAATATTTTAACCAGCTCAATGACAACGTCGTCTTCTTTTCAGACAGTTATGTCTTGTTGTGGTTTCCTGAGAACATACACGGGATCCCCTATATTTATTGGCCCTTCTTCATCAACAGCAGCGAGAACTCCAAAAAGAGGAAAGTTTCCATACTTTTCTTTACATCGCATTCTGAAAAACAGATATACAATAGGCCAATATAGATATAAAAATAAATATAGCGAACCTAAATATTTTCTGAGCACCCACAGCAAGATTTGGTGTTATGTTTATATTGATAAAACCTATACAAATTTGAAAAGCTTTGTAGACTATTATTAACCTACAGATTATCTTACCTCCTTAATGTTTTAAGCGGTTCACCATCCTCACTTTTACCTCCTTTTTCTGGATTAATTGTAGCTAGTTGACATCTGAAAATATGGACTCGTTAAATTCTATCACTAGGATATCTTAAATATGTTCCGTAGTGTATAGAAGTTGTATGTATTTGTCCAAGGACACGGCATAAAAAACTAATGTACAGTATATAACAATATACATAGAAGACTTTATAGCATATCAGTCCATTTCCGATTCTTTGCAAGGGTAAAGCATCAAGGAAAATATAGAAATCATAATTATATAATGCTTGCATTCAGTAACTCGTGTTACTGATACTAGACCTATATACCCAGTGTAAGTAAGGGAAGCAAAACTTACCGAGCACAAGGTTCTAAAATTCTTACATTTAACTGTTCTCCTATTGCCAATTCCTGCCAGGTGTCCTGAAATAAATATTCATAATGGCAGTTTGACTTCCATTTCGAATTGGTTATTATCTAACATAAACAATAATCTAATGCCTAACCAATTACTCAATGGAGCAGTTTCAAATATACTAAGATACAGGATTCAAGAAATTTCTAACATAACTATACCTCATCGAATGGTGGAGCTCCATCTATCACTAAGTTAGGTCGGAAACGATCGAATGTAACTGGTTCGACTAGTTTCCTATTTAATTCATCTAAAGATTGTTGGTTCATTATTAAATAACCACAGCATTCATCTTGATATCCCGCCTGAAATCATATCAAAATCATATCAAAAGGATCACAGTTAATATATACCATTAGATATATTCTTGACGGAACACAATTTCGACTGATACGATTTGTTTAAACCAATGAAAACTATTTCTTTTGTTTAAAACCTAGAACAGTTAAGCGCAACCAGATTTTGAATCGTTGTTTCGCACATGAATGCAATTCACAAACATACTTGATAAACAGAGATGTATACATTGGTACTTAATGTTAAAAACAATATGTATTCGTGAAAAAATCAACAACAGGAAGTGGATGATCATACATTATATTGTCTTTATAGCCTCAAATGCAAAGTATCTGTTTTTCACCAATTATACCATATGGATAAATATGTGACTCATCAGCCAGTAATAGATAAGGAAACCACGTTGAAAGGAAACATTACATTCTCACGAAGAGTTTAAAGCAGTGTTAATTCAAAAGCGAGTATATGACCTGTTAGAAACCCTATCTGACATGCTACGTATCAATCTTTGAATGTCCTGTTGAGGAATTTGCTGCGACTCCTGGTACAATGCTGCATCCAACTCTATTACAATTTGCACAGGAGGGTTTCTACGACGTATGCGACGTCCAAGAATATACTGAATTAAAGTAAGTGGCGCTTAACTTTTTGTTCTGCGTATATAAGAAGTCCATGTTGATTACAACGTCAAAATACACATCCGAAGTCTGCTAGTGTAGATGATAACCCACTGTTATGGAGTTCGCTCTATCGAATATTATTGACCACAGCAAGCGCATTTCCTTAAGATTGTATGCGCGTTTCCTTAAAATTGTATACGCATCTCACTTTGAGAAATATACATATCACGTTAGACCATGCATACCTGATCTCACGGTGAATCTCACTTTGAGAAATATACATATCACGTTGGACCATGCATACCTGATCTCCCGGTGAATCTCACTTTGAGAAATATACATATCACGTTAGACCATGCATACCTGATCTCCCGGTGAAGCTACAATGTTCCCCCATGGATGTTGTTTTGATTCAGTTTGTACTTTCATTAACTCCGGTGCTGAGAATAATAATCTTATACCCTCTGTTTTTAAATATTCACTAAACCATTGACTAACTTCATCACCACAGTCTTGACCTTGTAGTTGATTTTCCCATACCCTAAATATTATACAATTTAGTGAGATTTCCGATGAACAAAGCAAAGATAACATGTAGCTACTTTGTGTAGCAGAGCACATTATCATTATTAACACCTAAAACTGGGAAAATTAGTACTTAAATCTGAACATAATATATTTAGTGTGATTGTCTTTTTCACAAAATGTTAGTGGTTCCAATCATAAGACAATTATGATCTGCAATTCTGAATACTAATGGAATCAATGTATACATACCTACATCGACGCAGTTTACTTCTGTCTGACGGTGGCCGTAATGGGATCCTTAAATCTGTCATACCACTAGCCATTACTACTAGATCATCTTTCTCTACTCGTGTCTCTATTAAAGCTAGTTGTGGATACTGTCTCATGGTTAGAAAATCCCCATTGGGTTTGACTACTAACCAATGCCTTCAGAAATAAAAGAAGACTAAATCGTCTGAAGTAGGCTAGTTTGTTGGCGATGTCCGATTTACTCAGTTTTGGCGACTCTTGTTGGCCATTAGAAAAACAGAGTAAGATTATGTGTACCAAAATAGACAGCATACCTTTTCCTATTTTGTTGTCGACTTCTATCATAAGTCACATTTTTTTAAGCTCTGACTTACTCTCATATCTACATATGGTGCGACTAAATAAAAAGGATATTGGTGTCCGAGACAGCGAATTTTTCAAAAAGTATCGGATTACATATTGATTAGTAGGTCTACTGTATTGTAGCTTCATACAGTGTATTGTAATACTGTAAACAAACCGTGTGGTATTACCTTCATGTACTATCAAATGATTTCCATGCATTAAGATACCTACCTATCGTACAAACCATTAACTCTAATACCTAGTCTGGTAGCATCAGCAGAGTATAGTCCAAATCCACCACAAGATTTGATTGGATACGTGTTAATTTCAGACACTTTTCCTATTAATTCATATTTCTTCTTCTTCTGTTTCCACGATACCAGACTAAAGGAATATTTGATAGCTGATGTAAGAGCTAGAGTTGATAAAACTGTACCAGGATTGTCCATTATGGCCTCTCTCGATGTCACGTCCAACACATCTAATACACAGGAGTTATATCACGTTCATAATACCAAGTTGTTACAACCTTGGATATGGTATATCTTACAAATCAATGTGTTGCAAACGTCAAGAAAGTACGTACCAATAATATGAACAAGATTAATGTCGACCAGCTGTTAGAATGTTTACAACTGGCTATTTTTAGCATAATTTCAGACCACAACGAAGTTCTTTATTATAAAATGCTTGGGATCGTCATGGTAACCTCCCTTCATATTGGAAAATATTATCGCAAATATAGTTATTGCTGCACACCACGTCAATTATATAATGTGGAAACTGAAGGTCCACTTTTTGAGGGTAAAACTAACGTTTGATGGACATAATCATTTGTATTTTCAATTTGCTTTTCTCTTTGATACTTGTAAGTGGTTTTGGATGAAATTCATTGTCTTGACAACGGTTTGTTACGCTTAGCAAAACGACTTCCCATGTTACAATAGATTTGATTGTATGAAAAGAGGTACATGATGGTGCTTTTTGTTGCTATCGCGATCATATTCCATCTTCCGTATTCCTAAATAACAAGGCAAATCAAGCAAAGGAAATGAGACAACATTTCGAAATAAGTGATTACATGAGAAATGAAACATAATATCCGAATAATAAGACCATAATGTTTTTATTTTCTGATCATATAAACAGGGTCTCCAACCTTTATTGGACCAGATTCGTCTACTGTAGCTAATACACCAAAAAATGGTGATTTTCCCAATCCCTCGACGCATCGGATACTGAAAGAAAAACATATTCCTTTAGTTTAGATATAATATGTAGTCTCAACACTTCAAATGCACAAGTTATCAAAAGCAACAATTAAATAACATCTACTCCCAAACTTGATTTACATACCTTGAAAGTGTTTTCAGAGGTTCACCATCTTCACTTCTTCTGCCAAAAATAGGATCAACTGTTGTGACTACACACCTGTATTGAAAACATTTACAAGATATGACAAGACTGCAATGTTTCAACATCAATTATTCACCAATATAAAACCATTGTTACATGTTTACATAATATAAGTTTAAAAGTATCTTTACCTAGCGCAGGGGTCCAAAATGCGAACGTACAGTGATTCACCAATCCTTAATTCCTTCCAATAATCCTGAAAAGATATAATCAATTGGGTTAGAATGGATTTGATATAAATTTGTTATCTCTGTAAAACACACATAAGTTCAGCGCGCATGAACTAAACATCAGAAAAGAAAGTATGTAAACTACCTCATCGAAAGCTTTGGGACCATCAATCACTATATTGGGTCTAAAATTCCTAAAAGTAACTGGCTGTTTCAGATGTGTATTCAGCTCGACCAGTGAATTTTCATTCATAATAAGATATCCACAGCATTCATCTTGATATGCTCCCTAAAATATATAGAACTTTGGTTATAACAAGTAATTTTCCACATACCAGTATTTAACTCACAAGATAGCAGACATGGACATAAAAATATTTTGTATTGAGACATCCTTGGCTCAACGACACTTTTGATAAAGCGACCAGTTTGTTTGAAATGCCATACAAATCTTAACAACAGGCATATTCTAAAGAGAAGAAAAAAGGTATATATATATCTTGATGAATATACCTGATCACCTGGATCTGCTGAATTGCCCCACAGATTGTTCCTCGAGTTCGCCTGGGATTTGATCAGATCAGGCGCTGAGAATAATAATCTGATACCCTCTGTTTTTAAATATTCACTTAACCACCGACTAACTTCATCACCACAGTCCTGACCCTGTAGTTGATTTTGCCAAACCCTAAAATGAAAATAGAATATTTATAACTGAGAATACCAAAGTGCATAAGTAACAGAATTTAATAGCAATTACCATTGTAATTTGGGCTATAATGTTTCAAAAATAACCTCATTCACTTTACAATATTATTAAGATAAAAATCTGGTACCCAAATACCCAAATAATTACAAGTCTATTCATTAATCAAATCGTAGAATGCATCAGGTGTTTCAGAAGAGAGCCTGTCCTTCCTCGCTAGCGTCATCCACTCTAATACTTTTTTAGGCGGAGCTCAAATTCAATAAAGTTGAATGACATTGGCATATAATGGTGTGTAATGAATTTTCGATATTTGAACTCTTCAAATGTGATACCGAGTTGATTAACTTAGGGTCTCATCAGATGTTGCGGAAGAGCGAGCACTGGTAGAATAAAACATGCACCGACTTACCTACATTTTACAACCTTGCTTCTATCTGACTTTGGTTTAATAGGAAGGGTTATTGATTCCATACCAGGAGCTGTCAAAATAAACTCATTCTCCACAGGAACCACATTGATTTCAATACATGCTAACTCTGGATGCTGTCTCATTGTTATAAAATCTCCATTAGGTTTCACAACCAACCAGTGTCTGTAAAATAGAATATAAATTTAGAATTGCTTTATAGCTTTGAAAAAAAATAGAGCCTATACGCTAAGGCATAGAGAAAGTGAACGCACATCATACATAGCACTTACAAGAGAATCAAATCAAAGTTACAATCAAAGTTACGATCCTAATGTTTATCACCCAAACGTTTTGTTTTTAATACTCACGAAGAATAGAAAAGTTGTCTCCCATGTTACCACATGCATGCGTATGCAGACGACAAATCAGACAAATGCACACAAATAATCCGATAGACAAACATATCGATAGTATGACAATGTGTATTAAAACTTTATTATACCTATCATATAAACCATTAACCTTGATACCAAGCCTTGTTGCTTCAGCTTTCTTCAGAGTAATGCCACCACACGCTTTGATAGGATAAGTGTTAATCTCTGAGACTCGACCAATATATCCATACTGTTTCCTCTTCTTATTCCATGATATCAAACCAAACGCGTACTTCAATGCTGTCGATACTGCTAATGTTGTTAAAATAGCACCAGGCTCGTCCATTTTATTTATTATTTAATATGTTAACGTCCAGTTAGAAGGAACGCTATATTAGACCTCGGACGTGGTTTACATCAACACAAGTACTCAATACACTTAACCTCATTGAGTTACACAAATATAGGTCAAATATAGGTCAGACACAAGTTATACACAGATAATAAGACGACAATTAAAGTACTTTTGATTTTTTTTACTACATGATATGTATTTCCATAGCATCATTGGTACAAACTAATTTCCCAAAATTATGCGTTATCATCTGAAATCAATCTATACACAAATTTTGCAGCAACGGACGGATCAACTTAAATTGGCATAAAATATAAACTACAGTTTAAAAGTTATTGGTTAATCTTTCTGAAGAAGATAACAGGTCTATTTGCATAACACGTTGGTCATATTGACATACTGTACGACAATTGAAATGTAATGATTGCATCAAGATAAGAAAACGCGTCGTAATGTCATTGTTACACCATTTATTAATAACGAGTTAACTTACCCAAAAATAGGCTACTGTAAACCTTTGTTGCCCTACACAAATTAAAATAAATAAGTCATTATCTCAACCCTGGAGTTCATTCGTCAGCTCAATAAATTTCAGCACATCACTTCATATGTTCATTACATGTCCAAAGACTTAACTTCGGAAGAACCAAAAAATAATCAAATTAATATGATTCTATCATCCGATATACCCAGTTTCAGGAGATACTATAATCAGATACATTCAGATTAAGGTGGTATTACCATCAGATAATCAAATTAATGTGATTTTATCACCCGATATACCCAGATTCAGGTGATACTACACTCAATAAAACTCGGATTAAGATTGTATTACCATCAGATAATCAAATTAATGTGAATCTACCAACATATATACCCAGATTTAGGTGATACTATAATCAGATAAACTCAGATAAGCTCATATTTAAGGTAGTACTACCATCAGATATCAAATTAAGGTGGTACTGCCGTCGGATATAATCAAGGGAGTTCTACCTGGTTAGTCACATACACAGTTTAAGGTAGCACTGCCATTGTATTAGATTGTCAAATCCTCTTAAATCTCATTCTAAAAGTTCATTTCTACGCAACGTTATTCGGAAAATAAGGTTTATAAAGTATTCGGAATCCGTAATATTACAATTTGATTGTTCGTGTTCAGCAATGAACTAATATCTCGAGGTACGAGCTTCGAAAACTATATGTAGTAGTGAAGTTACAATTAAGGCATTGTCTCATGTAAAGTCATGTTTCCCCGTGACTGTAGAAAATTACCATGCTGGTCATGGTTTGTAATAAATGACAAGCAAACTTTCAAAGATAAACTAATCGAGTTAACCAACAGCAGTGAGCATTTAATGGACGTACATGATGGATGACATTAAGGGAAATTCTAACAATGTTGCAGCGGAAACTGATCCTTTATCCATAAAACAAGATGCTGTTGAAGCTGAGGAAGATGCTATAGTTGTTATTGAAGAAATACCAACTTCTAGGTTGATCTATAAAGTCAGCGATAATCCTCCACCACATTTGTGTTTTTTGTTTGGGATGCAGGTACATCTTTATGTTTATGTTTTAGAAGCAAATGAAATGGTCACGGTTATCTGTAATTTCATATATTAACAGACTACTAACAAGTTTATTGTTGGCCATTGTAGTTTGTCATTGTCATTGAATGACCAAATTCCCCTACTTTTCTCGTATATTATAAAAAGGGAATGGTAAGCGTCAGTGGCGGCGACAGTTTTCGAAACTGAAGGTACAAATAAGGGGCCAACTTAATAGTGGGACTGTCCAGGTTGATTTCAAAATATTTAGCTCTCAAGGAAGCATCATAGACACAGAACTCTCATGGAGCATTTGAGAGGGTTCTTTCAAGAGTATGATTGAAAAACAGACTTGATTTGATGCATTCTGACACAAATTTAGGGCAAAAAGTGCAGGATGGTTATTAACCCAATAAGCGCAGAGGGAGCGCGTGAAATCTACGTTGGATGTCCCTACCTAATCCATAGATATCAATAGGTCATAGGTCGCAGAATGTGGGCGACTGCTTTAGATTTTGTAATTATTTTGGGAGTATACATCGCGTTTTCTTAACGTTTGCATGCAATCTACATTTTCATAGGCATAAAACCGCAAATGGTTGCAAACCAATGTGACGGGCTATAAGACAGGACTTCGGGAACCACAAGATATAGCTGCTTTCTTGAAACGTGACCTAGTCTCTAAATAATGGTTGCCAAGATTAGCAATCCAAAGAAATATAAATCTGATGAAACATCCAGATGCATTTGAATCAGATTTGTTTCTTACATTTCAGCAACTATTAACATCTATATCCAGCAGTATGTCCATGTCTTTGATAGTAGCTGATTTGGTTTGTGCTAAAGATGATGACATAATTAAAACTCAAATTTTAAGTACAACCATGTTTATGGCTGGAATTTCTACTTTCTTTGTCACTACATTTGGTTTAAGGTATGCACAATATTCACAAGTTTCAGTTTTGAAATATGTGTAATCTATAATTGCTAATCATAGCATAGCATAGCTAACATATATTTTAGCGCTTATAGATACGTAAATTTGAATTGTTACTGAACTATTTTAGGTTGCCCATTTTTCAAGGTCCATCTGTGATATACGTAGCTCCACTCTTGGCAATGACAACTATGGATGAATTTCGTTGTCCTAATTACTTTATGGATTCTGGTAAGTCACCTGATGAGATTTTAAAAATCTACTACTGGACTCACAAGATCAGTCGCAGTACACACGTGCAATATGTGCAAATCGAATACTTAACCGCCTGCTGCGATCAAATGGATGTTTGCTGATTCTGATGAACTACCCGATTCAATTGTTAAATGAAAAATAGAATACGAGCAAGTGACTTGCAGGAACTGCTATTATCAGTCTTTCGATTTTTCAAAAGGTTGAGAATCCAATCCAGTTAGCCTTAAATTCTAAGTCACAAGGTCGACCTAAGCTTCATTACAGTATACTACTATTTGAGTCAATGTCTCTAATGTGGTACTGGGTTGTTCACAAGATAATTCGGAAATGTACCTATTTCTAAAAGACTGAATTGGGAACACCCATGACTTTTAAAAACATGTCGCTTACGATATGGTAATATCTTAGCTAATAAATTTTCAGTGGGTATTTTGGATTTTGAATCCGGTATTCTGCTGTGATATTGGCTTTGTTTGTACCTTTTCAGAATTACAAAATTCAACTATTCGTAACGTGTCAAATACATTTGTACGAGAGTTGGCTTACAGCAGAATTCAGGGGGTGAGTATGAGTTTTTAAGTCAACTGCTTAGTGTAATACCATATTATTTAAATATAAGTACGTGAGGTATCAAAGCAATAGCCGCAATTCGTCAACTGCATTGATTTCTCTTTGTTCATCAACTTTGTTCATAATTTGTCTCCTCTATTTCACAATTCTCGCGTTAAATCCCATTTAATGCCATATTATAGTGTAAATACTTTATTTCTCTAGATTTCTGGTTCTCTGATGGCTGCTGGTGCGTTACATACACTGGTAGGACTAACAGGACTGGTAGGGATATTTTCCAAATATGTTGGTCCAGTTACTATAGTACCCACCATTTTACTTGTGGGCCTCAATCTCTATCAAGTTGCCGTTAAATTTGCCGAGAAACACTGGGGAGTGACTGCCGCGTAAGAGTTATTAGTTGTCTTGCTCACTAGAAACTGATATATGTCACACCAAGATGATCTCATTCGGGATTAACCGGTTTTTAACGTTTATTAAAAGAAGGAATTATTGAAATCTCGACGTATAACCTACTTAGTCGAACCAATTATAATTTGACGGACCAAATGCCCAGTGTATAACTGCAAGATCCAACTGATCTAAAAACTAAAAAGGTTAATGCCTTATATGACTTATATAAAACTCATAAAATCTTCCTCATGTTAAAGAAGAGGTCTTTTGTTTGGTTTTGAGTCACGTTGACAAAAGACCAATGTAGCTCGTTCATCTCTACCACTCAGTCATTATTTTTTCAGGACCGCTGGTACTGGATTTATACTAGCTATTTATTTGAATGGCAGACAAACTCCATTACCAGCCTATAATAAAAAGCAAGGATTTTACATCAAATGGTATCCTTTACACCAAGTTTTCGCCGTAAGTTGTCACTAAGATACTTTGTATCCAGTGCGGTGATCCGTTATGTTTACTATCATTTTTTAGCATAAATTGTTTTTAACTTCGAATTCCCTTTTAACAGATTCTGTTCTTCAACATTTTCCATCTTCTTTCTTCACAATTTTTCAGATATTGATATCGATATTTACCGGTTGGCTATTGTGTGCTGTGTTGACAGCTTCTGGTGCCTTATCATCTGATACTAACCATATACATCATTATGTTCGAACTGATAGTAGGAATGACATTGTGTTCTCTAGTCCTTGGTTTTATTTCCCATATCCAGGTAAAGATTTCTTTAAGTACTCCTCTTTTACAGTAGTTTTAATGTGGTCAAATGTGGCCTTAAAAAAGAAAACCCAGCTTCCCATTTTAATACAAACACCCGTTGATGTTTCTTAATTTTAGGTCAATTTGGAGCAATGCGATTTAGTGTGGCTGTTTTTATAACATGTTTCATGGCTACAATATTGTCTGTAATAGACTCTATAGGCGATTACAATGCTGCTTCGCGAGTTTGTTGTGTACCTCCTCCTCCAGGACATGCTGTTAATAGAGGGATATTCTTTGAGGGACTGATGAGTTTCTTTGCTGGAACTACTGGAGCTTGTCATGGCACTGTATCATACGGTGGTAATATTGGAGCTATGGGGATAACAAAGGTAATATTAATTTTCGGGGAAGTCAAATTTATACACAGTCCAAAATCCACTCCTACCAGCCATTTATAGATATAGTTTTATATGTATTAAGAGATATTGAGCATTCCGTGTATCCCAAAAGATTTGGGATTCGGCTTTTAAGACACGTAAAGATAGTAATACCTACAGCTCAGTCACACTATCTACATCCCGCAGATTCTTTCTTACTTCGTAATGAAAATAATGAATGGTATACTTATTGAAAAAAAACAAACATCTGTCAAAATTTAATACTAATATTCCAGGTGGTCAGTAGAAGGACGTTTCAAGTAACCGCAGTATTATATATTCTCTGTGCTGTTTTACTAAAGATCAGTGCAGTATTCGTAACAGTACCCTATCCAGTATTGGGAGGAACAATGATTCTAAGCTATGGTATCTTTATTGGGCTGATATTGTCCAATCTACAATTTGTAGATTTGAATTCTACCAGAAATCTTGCTATTATTGGTATATCTATATTAATGGGATTGATATTACCATATTGGGCTAAGTCTAATCAACATGTTATACGACTAGGTGAATAATCCTTCTGTTCTGAATAAATACATATACAAATGTAGTTTTATTATATAAGCCTTTTATCTGTACTAAGATATTTTAAACGATGTATGGAAAGAAGCAGAGGACCCGAGCATGGGTCGTATTTCCGATCTGCTGTAAAATCTAAACTAGATGACCAACATATTCAGGTCAATATTTCGCTTTTCAATTCATTTAAAAACCTGAGTTGTCTTTTATTTTCAGGAAATGCTTATGCTGATAACATTATTCTAACTCTAATTTCAAATGGTGCTTTCGTTGGTGGATTTATAGCCTTCTTCTTTGATAATACTGTCAGAGGTAAGCTGTTCCAATTACTCATTAACATTACAGATCATAGACAAAGGCAACTGGGTCCACTGAACTTATTTGTTAGCATTATTATCAAAACTGAAATGAAATAATTTTTTCCTCTTATTTCATATTAAACATCAGTTCATTTTAATGCCCTCTTATTTTTAACATTCAAGGCCTGCAGTTCATGAAGCCTAATATCACATCTGGATGACTAGACATCATAGACTGAAATAGAGCGTGCTAATATAGCTTAATGAGATATGATCTGTTATATTCTCGTCTCTAGAATATGAGATCTAATGGCAACACATCATGATATTAACAATGGTGACTGATGTATCTTTCAGGGACACGAAAAGATCGTGGTTTATTATTTGATGAAGGAACAGAAATTGGTAATGATACAGTGTTTGTAGAGGGTCGTGAAGTGTACAACCTACCCAGAATAGTAAACTTCATTCAAAATTTGAAAATCTATAACATACTACCTATATTCCCTAAAGATAAATCAATTTAGAAATATGTAATAACTAAATGGACTTAATTAATGTTAATTGAATAAAATAAATTCGTATATTCACATTTCGATATTCATTCTGATTTTACTAAGAACGTTTTTTTAGTTCGTGCCTTTAAAGCTTCGTAGATATACATGTACGTCTTAAGTAGCATTCTATCCACGACACTTATGCTTGAACGTCTCTAAATCTTATAGATAAAAACCTAATCCTACAATAAACATGTTGTAATTGTAACTTATATATAAGAAATTCACAATCGCCGATATCATATAATGATAGGGAAACTAAATCCTGACCTATATCAAATACAACTTGATTTCAGTCACCCATAATGGACAAGATGACAAAGGGCGTACTTTTGTTATCTTACTTAATTTATTTGTGAGTAAATATTTTATGCTTATTTTGAAATGGTAATACACAATCAGTTGAATCTTCAAAGCACCAGCACTGACAATAAAATTGAGGGGGTGGGTGGAGCAAATTCGTGTTATCTGCTTTTCTTCGGGGATCATAACAATGTTACCATAGGGAACAATATGAAGATTGGGCGGCAAAATGACCATCGTTTACATCTTATTCCTTAATGTACTCAGATGGAGACCATACATGAAAGCCAAAATAAATTTCAGGTACGTCAACATCGTATCCAGTAGTAATATAGTACCACTAGCACAACTAAGAAACTATGTATTTGGTGGTGCAGATTTACAATACAGAATACATTATCACAACTGTTCACTAAATTTAGCCCATATTTCACCCTATGATTGGGAACAGGAACTGGATGAGATAGCTTACCTGAATTATAATAATACAGATTGGATGGTTGGATCTGGTTTTGCCAGAGACGTCAGTGGCAATAGACTTGCACTGAAAGGTAACCAGCCCAATACTTTCAATTAAATGATTGTACCGAAATAGCTCAATAAGATATGCCCTTTGAGAAATGTCAAGTTGACCAACCAGGGCACAGAGTGGTCTTAGATCTAATGATGATAGGGTTATCAATAGGAATACTCTTCTTAGGAAGGCAAATTCAAATTCGATTAAGTAAGTTACCATATTCTTACATAAAAGTTTTTAAGATTGAGAATCAAACACCTGCAAGTCATCAAGATGTTTATGAGAAAGAAAGTAGATTATCCATTTATCTTCACAATCAGGTCAATACGATTAGGCCTAATCGGACTCTGGAAAAAGAAGATGTTACAGAACTTGTCTGAAAAATAAGCTACAAATATCGTATAGTTCAAGAGTTAAACATAAAGAGACAAACTTCATCGATACACTTGAAAGAAATCACATAAAAAGTCCACAATTTGAGCCAATATGAATCAAAATCTTTTAATTGACTCTACCAAAGCCACAATCAATGAATCAATGGAATTTAGAGGGTACAATAGTTGATACCGCTGAACTTTGCAATCGTATTTCTTCTCTCTAACCATGAAGTGGGCTATCTGGGATATCATGTAAATCTAAGTATAGTGTTATGTATAACTAATGTTACACAGATTTTTTACTTTTTACGTAATAATTCTACATTCTGTTTTAATTCAACTGTTCAGGTCCAGCTGACAGACTTACCTTATCAATATTTAATGCTAGTGGTTTAACTAATACATTATATGATAGGGATCCTGCTACTGGTAAACTTGTTATACCAGGTTTCATCAACTGTTATCATTCAGGGTAAGTTATAAACAAGAAAATAAACTATATCATCTAATCACCGGATAACAAATTGACAAATCCAGTTTGCAGAAGAGTTTAAATATAACCAAATATTAACAGTATCCTCGTGGTAATCCTTTCTTTCCCAGATTATTTGCACCAGGCAACCATATGGTAAGTAATAATGTGATAAAGTTGTTCATATTTTTTATGTACTATATTGTGTACATTTGACCCTAATATGTTTGACACCTTAATGTGTTTGAGACCCTAATTTGTGATATATTTTTGTAGGAGTTTTGAAATATTATCGCGATATGGAATAGGATCTGAATTATTGAACTTCGAAGCAGTAACCAAAGCTCTTGTTGTGGACGGGGTTCAACTACGGTTTAATCTCGATTTATTTGCCTGTGTCAGAAATGCTACAAATGACATTAGAGATACTATACAGTATAGCTATGCTGGAAGAATCTCCGGTATGATATTTTCTTTAATGTAGATCTCGAGATGAAAATTCTTTTCGTGCTCTATTGTTGGTGTCCAAATTATTGCTTTATATTTTATTATAGGATCTAATTAACTATTTTCCACATTTACGTAAATTATAGGTAGATTTTGGGGTCGTTTTAAATTCCATTAAGTTACTAAGTGATAAACTGATTATTGAAAAGCAAATAGTTTCATAAAAACTAATAATCAATTTGTTTTTTAAATGTGACAAACGTCAGATTTGCTTCTGGAAGATATTCAGATACTTTTAAATAGCAATATTTTCTATCTCGAAAATTGACACCATTACACGTTTCAGATGTAGCCATTTCATTGTATGTCTGACGCATTTTATATGTACCTTACAGCATTATCTTATCAATTTCAGGATATAGACTTGATCTAGAAAGCAGCATCACCTTTTCTACTAGTTATCTGATTGGTGATGGATATCATGTTGTTAATGTGAAGATGCTGAAGAGTAATGATGCCACTATCAAAGAATATTTTGTGGACCAGATATCAAAGCATTCATCTGATGCAAAAACATGGACTTGTGGTATAGGTTCTCGGGGGCAGTTACATCTATTTCAACACCCGTAGACCCTAATTTTGCAAATATTATAAATGTCGTTCCTTACTTTGAATTTTGATTGTAGAAGTTCAATAGTTTGGGTGAAAATAAAATTTATCCGAAGTCGATGGCTGGGTTGGAAAATTAAATCTAATTTCTATTTAGGTCCATGATGTGGTTTGGAACATAACTTTATTTGTGCTTTATTGTCAGTTTGGTAAAAACTGTGGATGTAAATTGTATGAAATCATGACCATGGTACCGAGGTATTGAATTTATGAAGTGCTATCTCATTCTCCTCAGAGAGAGCTCGATTAGATTTCAAAGTGAAGTATGTTATCTCCCTTTAATAAAAGCTTTATTCAAGAGGATCGAATCTGTTCGATATGTAATTGGTGTAATGAATCAAGAAACATCTGGAGAATTTATCTTTTAATTTTAGTGTCAAAATATTTTGTATTCAAAAGTCAGAGAATTAGTATATAACCCCAAAAGGCCATTGTATTAAACTTGCCCAAATTTCTGAGAGTTTTTCAAACTTTGAAATATGTAAAATATAATCATACCAATGACATTCGGGCAGTGATTTCGATCCTTAAATAATATGAATTATGAAATATTATTATAGGAGAATACAATGGGGCTATCAATTTAAAAAAAATACATAATAATAATATCGGGCCGTTCAAAAAATTTTTTTAGTTTAATGCCTTGCCCGAAAAACTAGCCTCCGCCACTGACTAGAGTATCAGACTCATCTTCACCAATGCTTAACTAGAATATTTAACTCACCTACACCAATGTAAAACTTAAGTATTAGACTCATCTTCACCAATGTAAAACTAGAGTATGAGACTTATATACACCAAAGTTAAACTAGAATATCAGACTCATCTACACCAATGTAAAACTAGAGTATGAGACTTATATACACCAATGTTAAACTAGAATATCAGACTCATCTACACCAATGTAAAACTAGAGTATGAGACTTATATACACCAATGTAAAACTAAAGTATCAGACTCATCTACACCAATGTAAAACTAGAGTATGAGACTTATATACACCAATGTAAAACTAGAGTATGAGACTTATATACACCAATGTAAAACTAAAGTATCAGACTTATCTACACCAATGCCAATCGGAGAATTAAATAAAGTGAAACGAGAAAATAGACCACCTCACCTTGAAAAATTAGATTATTAGATTCGCCTACACCGAATATAAAACTCAACCGCAATAAACTAAATGCTTTACTCCTCTACAACAACTAGTATCAGATTCACCAACACCATTGTGGAACTAGATTAGAAAAGTTTAATATCCATATAAAATTCTATGACATTGATAGATGAAGAATATTACTACAGGGACTTGCTATCTGGCTTACAACAAATCACAAATCGATTCATTTACAATTACTTTGTATGACAATGCTAAAGAAACTCACAAACCTTAAGGCCCGATTAAATGTATGACATTTCTGTAACATTATTTTTAATAAATCTTGGCTGAAAGCCTAAAGGAATGGATAATAAAACATTAGCTGGTGACATTTGAATCAAAAAGGATGGTGTAAGTTGACATCAGTGGCATGGACGTAGACAAATATATGTTTTTTTTTTTGGTTTGTGTAAAATTCCGAATTCCGAATTGGGTCAGAAAAGACCTAAAAATCGGTACTCAATTTCCACCAAAGGCTGTACACAAATTTTGAAATGACAACGAATGAATAATTCAAAACCCCCTTTTTTCGTATACAGTAATTTTAGTAAGCTAATATATCATAAATAATAATCCATTTGTTGTCATTGTCGAAATTGTGTACAGCCTAGTTTGGTGCGGCTTTAGCTGCGAATTTAAGTCTTTTCAGACCCAATTCGGTCAGTTCGGAATTTTACAACCACCATGGATCTCCTTGATCGAGAGAAATTTGTTAAGATGTTGATTTACCACGAACGATTATTATTATCACCTATTCTTATATATTAATAGTACAAAATTATTACCAAAGTACTTATTAGAATAACACAACAGTTTTCGTCAAAAGAAATGTTATACGCCTTGCCAAACCATTTGATAAAATTCACAAGTCTGTGTTATATCACTTTCTTAATGTCAAAGTTAACTGATGCAGAAATTCAAAGAGTTCTAAGTGAAATAAACGTCAATATAACGTATTTGAAAAGATCAAAGCAATTAAAACATAATTAAAGTTATCGATAAAAGTAATAAATTTCTGATTTTCAATCATGGAAATCATGGTAATCGATAAATTTATTCATTTTCCAATCGTACTCAGATTTCGTCCATTTTTATGAGCTGTTACAGAATATAATTTGTATCGTTACATTGTGATTTTATGTTAATCTGACTGTCAGCATGATAATGTCAATAGTGTTCGTCTGGGGACAACGAATCTCTCTATATGAACGTTATTTTCTTGGTATACTCACGTTCTTTATTTTGATTCGTTCACATGTTCTGTATAAACACTTTGGACTTTGGAATAAAACTCATTCGGTTCAGCTTTCAGGGATAAGACACCAGACGAAAATTTACTGAAGTGATGAGTTGAGATATTTCTTAAAGAAAGCCGTTGAAGTATGGATAAAGTAATATTATGACATAATGACATTCAATATACCTCGTGGGAATTACATGATGATGAATGATTAAAATTTAATCCTCAAACTACCATATATATTAGATATATTATTGAACTACATCTGACGCAAAATATAATGCTGAAGGTTAATGAAATATTGATATGGGTAGTAAATATAGTTAGTATGAGCCACTGACGGAATTTAAAATCAGATCTCCAGTGTTGTCTGAAAAGGGACATCTTCCACCCTAAATCCAGGTTTGACAACAGGATAAGGGCTATTGTACGTTCACTTATCAGACCCCATTTTTATCTGCTCAGCCCAATGAATAGTCATATTGTATCAATTTATCTACCCGGCGATAAGACGAACTCTTCTCGTAATGTGGTGTCTAACCACACCGAATATTGTGGTCTAATTGCCTTGAGTCTGTTTTAATAACATTCTCAATTCAAGATCAAGTAAGTACTTTGAAGTTACGATGTATTTATGTTTTGAGTGTGCAGCTGCAACGACAATAAATTAGAAAAAAAGTTATTATATACGTAGATAACAAACCGAGAAGCCAAAATACATTCTACTTGGCAATTCTAAAGGGACGTAAATATCTCATCTTAAATCATTTACAACCAAAAAACAATCAAACTCAGAAAGTTTTATAGAGTTGTATTTTGCCAAAGTAACTAAGTCATGAAGTTAGGTATGCAATAAATGTTAAACATGGAATTTCGTTTATTTGTTAGATGATGTAAGGTAATGAAAGATTATAAAGATAGAATCATCTGAAGAAATATCGTAATTAAATATAAATCACAAACTATACAGTGGTGTAACCTATTTTCGTGGATATAAGGATTCAACACTGAATTTCGTCAAAGTTAAAAAAACGAAAAAAAAGAAAATAATTAAAATTGGTTTATTTCGATTTTCTTTATGAATCCTTCACTTTGACCCATATTTCATGAGCAACCAACTCGGCAATGGCGGCAGAATGCGTCACTCATTTTCGTGTACAATGTTTGATCTATAAATAAGTCTAGAAAAACACGTTGTATGGATACCGGGTGGTATAAGAAACTTCTCTTAGTATTTAACTTTAATATCAATTCATTATAACTAGTGACAATTCCTTCAAAGAACCACGATTTAAAAAAAAAATAGTGACTGACAAAATAAGACACGTAGCGTGATTTATTGCTAAAAGTCACTGAAACAACATAAGAATACGGTCCACTTTGTGTTCCATAGAAATTTTCTGCTGACACGGAATCCGCTAGTTGATCACATGACTTCATTCGTTGGAATATAATCTAGCAGACGACACTTGGAATTCCGATTACCGCTTGGGATTATAAGGAAATTCTGCCGATAAAAAATGGTATCGTTTGGTAATAAGTGAAATCCGCCATTTTGTATTTGTCAAAGTATACATTATTACATTTTACCTTGCTTGAAACTATTGGATTCATTCTACTAGCTGACATTGTACAAATAACCTATGTTTATCAAAACAAACTAATGCGGAGGTCGCGCAAGGTCGCTCATGTAAATTATTAATCGTTTCCGGAAATCCACGAATAATAGGTTTCCACGAAATTAGGTTACTTGACTGTAGAGTTACCTTATCAGTGAAAGCTTTATGGATGATACGAGATTAATTCTAGTTGATATTTATTGTTATTTATACTCTCATAAGTTGTCAACATATACCGAAACACAACTAAACATGAAAAATATAATAAACTCATTTGTCTGTATTAGTAAATGAAATGGAATTTTGCCCTACATGCAAAGTCTGTATTACACAGTGTCTTGGTTTATGAATCGACTATCTATGAACTTGATGCAAAACAATGTTGAAAAAACCGAATGTAATATCTTGAAGGACTTGATCTTTAACTCCTAAGATGATTTTATTCCCCGTTACTTCTGTACTAAAGTCAGTAACTGTAAACAAAGTAGTCAGTACTTGGGAATGGTCAGTTATATGGTCAAATATAAATAAGAAGGATACTAGTTACATTATGTATTGATTAATACAACCTATCTATTAGTAATTATTATAACATATTATTATGTGTTATTATCTTTTTAGACAACATTTATTTCGTGGATAATGGTACCCTCTGTTAAAATATGGTGGATGCCAAGTTCTGGTTAATATTCAGACATCAGACGACACACATCATTGTTAATTTTATATAACATCATTTTTCTCACCAAATTAGATCTCCATGGTTATTTAAAGTAATTCTAGTCGAGCTTCAGTAATGGTAACTATCAAAATAATTATGTGAGTATTATATTTAGGTCTCCTCCATCTATATTCAAATTAGGTGTTATGGTATCCAATTGACTTAATTGTGACCATTGATATAGACGACGAATAATTCCAGTTTGTAAATAATAGCAATTTTAATACAGACTTTTTGCTATGATTACTTTGGATAATAAATAGGGCCAAATTGAAAGTTGACATAGACAATTTCTTATCAATTACTCAGAACCATA